GAACTTGAAGCACTCCAGTATAGGAAACTACCAGAATTGCAAACACTGCTGACACAACTCAGCGTTCAGCGAAGAGTCGTAATGCAGTGGATACCGTCTCATTGTGGAGTGCCTGGAAATGAGAAAGCTGATCATCTGGCAGGGGAAGGTGCGACAAAAGAGCAGCCAGATGTACCAATCACATACCACCAAAAGAAAAGAATCATTAAATCTATCAGGAAACCGCCAGCCCCAGCACAAGACGACTATTTTATTATGGACAGACCAGAACAAGTCATTATCTTCCGCCTCAGAACAGAGCACAACCGATTACGTAACCACATGTACACAAAATTCAAGATAGGTGTATCAGCCATGTGCACCTGTGGAAATGTGCCCCAGACCGCAGAGCATGTACTCCAGGACTGCACCGATTTTGACACATTAAGGCAAACCTTTTGGCCAGAAAGAACAACAGTGGAACGTAAACTCTATGGACCACTGAATGAACTAACAACGACAGTGAAATTTATACAAGAGACAAAACTGCTGATATAGATAACTTATTTCAGGCGAACGAAAGAAGAAGATTAGCTTCTTTCAAGCAATCGTTGTTAGTTACTCTGGCCGTCTATGTATTCGTAACATTCGTCTCAGAAACCACATCTCTGTTGCTTCCAAATTCTTCCTAATTTGTTCACTGGCATTCCAAGATTCGCTGCCATACAGCAGAACATGTTCTTTGTAACATTTTAGCACCCTCTTTCTGACATTAAATGATAGCAATTTATTGCAGAAGATATTTTTTTTTCTGAAATGCAGTTTTCGCTTGACCTATTCTACTTGTAATCTCTGTCACACATTTTCCATCCGATGATATGATTGTTCAGAGATATTTGAATTTATTGACTTGGTTAGGTGTTTTTCCTTCAATTGAGATATCATAACGTGGAGTTATCTTCTTCTTTGCTATAACCATTACTTCCATTTTCTTAATATTTAATTAAAGTTGAATTAAGATGCGTGACATTAAACAATATTAACATTTAACTAATCTTTTTTTTTTTTTTTTTTTTTTTATGTTTGCAGTACGTTTTCCCCTATGTCATTATTAAAGTAATTGCTACGTATTTGCCATACGATCGCATTGCTTTTCAGTGTATGTAAGAGTATCCTTTGATATGGGAAGATGACATTGCCGGATTTAGACATAAGCTAAGCTACAACGCAGGGTCTCACAGTCTGCAGGGGTCTCAAAAAATTCTATTTTCTTTCTTGTTCACAAATGCAGTTTTCGTTTAATAGAGCCTTTTAAGATTACTGATTACCGATTTATGAATCGACATCATAGCACACCGGGCATACCCATAGATGCTCCGTTTCCCGCAGCAAATGGCGTAAGGTGTAGTTTATACACACGCAGATCTCTTCCTCGCATCCTTCCTCCTTGCCTGATCCACACTGAATTTCTCGATCACACATTCTTGCCCATGTTATTTCATCTAATATCGTGTCTTCTGCCTAAAGTTGTTCATATATGGTCTTCAGAATATCTCCCTTGTCCAGTACGAGGTTTCTCATAGCCTTTGCTTTTGTAGCCAGAAAATCCGCTCTTTCATTCCCTCGCACTCCTGCATTTCCCGGACAGTAAATCCACGCGATTCCCTGCAATGTTGGCGTACTGATGCATGGTATCCACTCATGCCACATTAGTCTAGTTTGAACCTTCCGCAATGCTGACTGAGAATCAGACACAATAATTCCTCTGGTAACTTTGTTTTCTGCTATCCACTTCAGAGCTGCAGCAATCATCTACACTTCCATTCTCATGCTTAAACGCACAATCCTATTTGTGACCCAGACGGGACTCAATGTCTAGCATGACTGGTGTCGAATGCAGAAGAAGAAGAAGATTTTCATGCTTGAAGTTGTAGGAAAAAAAGAAAAATTTCTGTTCTGTTCTGCCACAATTTTCCCCTTCATTCTAGCAGAAAATCCCCAGCCAGCTCTCACAGCCCGATAACAGAACTATCGGTGTACACTACTGCATCATCTAGTCCAGTCTTTCCATCTATCAGTTGTTGTACCTCTAATTCTGCCACACTGAGAGAATTGTATAATATAATTTCGATGATGTTGATGAAGGCATATTCTTTGTTATTTATTTTAAAAATTAAAACGACGATATATTTACATCATCCATATATTTAAAAGGCGTATATGTTTTAATTTTTCATGAGGTTAGCTGGTGTAATTTAAAACAGTGGGAACCTCAGAGCATCATAAAGCTTAGAGCTTCATCAAGTCTAAATCCCGGCCTGGAAGATGGTGCAATCATTCTCATTGGCACAGGACCGCTGGTTGTCCCAGGCTGGTGGAGCCGTTACCCACTCCCCAGATATAATTTTTTCCGAGGTTGAAAGGGATGTATGTTGGCTTGTCATCCAGACAAAGATATTGTAATGTCGAGAGGCGGGGGAAAGGGTGGGCAGCTATTTATGTAGCAGCACGGAAGGGAAACCCAGAATAAAGGAAGGGGGGAGGACACCCCCCCCCCCCCCCACTGCCACATTGCTTTGAAATATTGAAATATTGTTGTCTAGCAGCGATTGTCTAAAGCCCTGCACATAAAAACTTCGGTATTACTCACGAAAGTCACCCAAACTCGTCAGTCGCGAGACTTCGTAGCGGTTCTCACGGATTCTCCGATGTTCTAGGGGTGTTATGAGATGTCTTTCTTCGCCGTCTATACACAGCGTGCTGAAAAGTGGCTCGGGTTCGTTCGACGCGCTCGTCACACCTTCTCCCAGACGAAAGTATTCAGCTTTATTTCGGTAACTCTCTTTTCTACGAACGACCGTTGTTTCTCGGATGTGTTGTTGTTGTAAGTAGGCATCAGGCACATGTGTGTAAGAAAGAAATACTGCAGGGCGAGGCGCTAAATGCCCGACGATTAGTGAGTATTGAATCATTAATGTTTTCATATTGTTATGCTCGTTGGCATTGGCTGTCGTTCAAAACGAGGGAAACATTACACACCAAGACTATAAGACTGTCCCAGGAAATCTACGAAATCTCGCGGCGACCAGCTGGTGTGACTTTCGTGACTTGTACCAAAACTTCTTAGGGTAAAACCGTAGGAAGTTGGCCAACGTGCCTCCCGTCAAGTGTACAGTCAACCATCTTTGGTTTCACTATATCAAGTTGTTTAAAATCTTCATTTTTAGTTTTTTCCTTCTATTCCACACCCCCCCCCCCAACCCGCCCCTACAAATTTATCGCTGCCTATTGTCTAATAGTTATCATCACTGTAGTCCAGTAAATACAGTGGAATAGGAATATCGAAAAATAAACACACGCACAACAACAGTCTTTACTAGAGGTCATCATAGAGTTACAGAACCTGTTTGCTCAGCCTCTCCCACTCCCAATTTGTAAAGGAGCACCATTTAACCATTATAGAAATTCCGTTCAAAAGTATTTGTTTAAGCATCTCATATAATTTCAAATGTATTATATATTTATCGAACAGTTTTCTTCTGAGTCTTTTGTCGTTCTACTGTACTTGCTTACGTGGTTATAACCAAGTGTCGTGGTTTATTTGTCTTGTTCTTCTCGGGTGGTTTGGATATGTATACAGTAATCACTTTACACACAGGGGTGAAGAAAAGACATGAAACCGAATCAAAAGTATATTACTAGCTTTACAATATAACAAATACAAACAAAACGTGAACGTTGAGGCCATGGAGCTTCACAGCACATACAAACCAAACAATACTACACAAATACACAAAATCACTTAGCTGGTATATCGATGCAGCCGATCAGATTAGCATTGGGCCCCTAAATTCGTCTTGCCTCCAGGAAATGCCCAGTGGGCCTATGAGTTAAGATGGCCTTGATGTCGAGTTCCTATGCGAATTTGAAAACTAACAGATACATCTGAAAGAAGAACTAGTGAAACATATACATTTTATGTACATTTAAAACAAGAAAGAAGGGAAAATATTCCTTTTTAATAGTTGAATAACATACACACCCTAACACGCATACACACACATACATAATTAATGAACACATCTCTGCGATCTTTGTAATAGGTTATTTGCGTGTGTAAGCCTCTTTCCCAACATTTAAAAAAAAAGTTTTTTAACAGTTTACTAAATTTTAAATAATTTTTTGAATAACATATTGGCGACCTGAAAAGATATGTCTTGTTTTTAATTTTCCAGGGTTCAAAACTTATGATTACTGGTTGTAACTTCTTCATAACATGTAATCATAGGTCTTGAATTATTACAGAAGTCCACTGTGCGTAGAGTCACCTTTATATTTGTTCCGGGACTCGCAGGCGTCGATGGAAATGAAAGAGCTGACAGGTTGGCTGGATCCGCTATCACTACCGACGGTCAGCCTATGGATCATGCTGATATTATCAATGCCCTCAGAGAAATGTGAAAGATAGAGGACTTTAGTGGCAGTGAATCCACATCACTCGCCAGAATGGCAGACTTGGGAATTAAGATCGGCACAGCAAAAAACGAGACGCACACCAGACACGTCAGAAGACTTGTTAATCAACATAGAACTGGTACTATAACCCATCGGATGTTGGGGTTCATACTGAGGGGAGGATCTGAGCACCTATGGACATGTCCGGAGTGCAATGATGATAACCCAACTAACTAACTAACTAACATAATTAGTCTTACTTTCAATATAATACGCTTTTCTCTTACCTTCAAATGCAGCGCTTTATAATTGTGTTGATACTTCAGATCGACAATCTTGAAAGAAATCAAGTAATAAACAGTACGATTATGGATCACTCTTAATTTCATTTTTTTTGGGCGTTCAGGAGTGAAATATGAACACTGAAATATTAACATTTTTATTTTGCAGACAGGCTCCTAGTTTTTATGTAGCCGCAAACGTCAACGCTACGGCGGCCATTTAAGGTTTAGACGCCATTTTTCATTCTTGATTGCCGAGGTCGTACCATCGTCACCGCCAACAACATGGGTAGAAAGAAGAAGAAGCAGATCAAACCATGGTGCTGATATCCTTTTATATATTACGATTTTAACATTAAATACAGGCATTATTTATAAAATTGTTTTTATCTGTTCTTAGTGATTAATTCAAGTGTTGACTAACTAACTAATGATAAAAGAACCAATTTTCGATTACTTCGAAAAACTGCTTGTTCTCACACTGTTGTGACAACCTACGTAAGAGATAGAAGGAAGTTTGTCAACTGTTTATAATTTTAAGTTTGGCAGATGTTGTTTAAACATTGTTAATATGTAATGATAATCTTTCTAGTTTACTCCACCCCCCCCCCCCAATGAATAAGTATAAATAAATAATTATAATCCATTGGTCCACCATGATAGAGGGGGGGGGGGGGGAGGGCGGAGTAAAGATAGCTACTTCAGTCAAATTTTTAAAATGCCCTCTACACCAATAAAACCAGCACAGCTAGATAGCTGTAAACAATCTCTTTCCAGTGGTACCTCATTTAGGCTTGTATGTCATTTCTTAGCTGAGATATGTAGGTTTTTGTGGAGATGAGATGTAAGAAACAGCCGCTAAAAGTAAAACTTGTGACCCAGAAACAAGAAGTTTTTCTATGCGCAACCTACTGCGCAGTTCTGTATTGGCTTTGTTGACATTGGACTGTCATTGGACAAGATGGCAGACAATGAGACTCAGCCACTGGCTGAGCCAGCGATTGCCTGAAAAATGTCACTGTACATCTACCAAGCCACCGTTCAGAATGAAATTTTATACACAAAATGTAAAATTGGACGGAGAATTCAATTATAACTAGAATTACCAGGACGAGTAACAGTTAAAGCCTAAAGCCAACCTGAAAAACTTATCGCTATTTTCAATCAAACTGATGTAACAGAAAAACGGAGGACGTCCGGCTGTCGTAGACATGCGCTGTTAATCGAGTTCCTTCCCGCCGTTTTCAGCTATTTAGAGTGGGTGAAAACCACACCAATCGCAAAATTTCATGAAATATTAGGACCCATCCCGAAACCCCAGCCGACATTTCCGAAACAAGTTTCAAACGGTTTCCATGGTAATGGAAATTGCCGAAAAGATCGCAAATTTCCGAAACTGTAGTCGCTGTATAAATAAGCATAATCCATTGGTCCACCATCAGCAAGTCAGATCGGATCCCCCCGATCTGAGATCACAAATGTCTTCTTTTTAAATTATCTATAAATTGTGTTAGAAGTATTTGATAAATTAACACACACATACTGTGTGTATTCATATGGATTTCATAATTCTATTCCTATAATCAATCGTAATCCTGTTTATAGCCCTTACTACTATGGTAACTGTTTTATAACTTTTATCAACAGCTTATGTTATGACTTTTATAAGAGTTTTGGCTGATTTTCATTTCTAAACTGATTAAAAAACACAAGCTTTTATGCTGCTAAGTGGTTGACTATTTTTTAAAGAAGGCAGCCTTTTTAGTTTTAGAACTGATTAACCTTGATGTTAATTTAAAAATGATTTGCTTCTATTTTTTGGTATTCATTAATTTTGTGATAAAATTGATATATGTAAATAAGCAGTAAGTAACAGAATGAAATAACAGTGACAGCTTTCCTTGAACAAGCCCAGGACTATTAAATGCTTCTTGAAACCAGAATTCCTAAGGTGGTGGACAAATGTCCAGCTTGAGTTCAGAATGAGATATCATTTGGCTATCCTCTAAATAATGGGTGCATGTTATGGCGGCTAAAAACACACCCTAACAGGCCCTTAGTCACGTGTAAAATGCGGACTTCCGGCGAATACCACCGCCGCAGAGCGTATCCCCCACGCCGCGCACAGTGGTGTGGAGCAGGGCATAACTAGACCTGGCTGGAACTCACGAGCAGCAGCTACCTCATCTCTTGCAGCTTCCTTTATTTTATTCACTTGTGAATCCTAGCCATCTCAGCGGTGGTCTCCAGGAGACCACAATTTACATGTGACTAGGCCCTGTCAGGGTGTGTTTTTGGCCGCTATAATATGTGCCCGTTATTCAGAGGATAGCCGATCTTTTAAACAAGGTTTGACTAAAATCTTTTAATTCACAACCTTTCAAGGACATTCTGTCTTAAGGATAAAAACCGTATTTATAACTTTACAGTTAATTCTAGATTCAAAAACTGTTATCAGGTGTGTTCTGATTCTGTATCATTTCTTAAGGATCAGTTAGGTTCTTTGAAAGTGAGCATAGAGTGATATTTGCTAACTATAAATATCTTTATAGTATTCAGAATACAAGTCATGTCAGTTGGTTTTATCTATATCGTGAATACTAAATGACACACAATTGTAGGTGAATGTTTTCATTACTTTAATTCTCTATATACAAAACGTAGAAATATTCAAAAATTAAATTTCTTTTAGTCAGGGACTTAAGTGAATTTTTAACAAAATAAAAATTTTACTTATAAAAAAAGTACACCTGCATATTCATTAAAATATCTTTCTACCAACTGTACCTCTTTCCTGCCTGTATATTTGTTATAAGAAGAAATATCAATGATTTTGTATACATGATTTATTGATTGTATTTATGATTGTCATTGTGGCTGAGTTCCTTAACTGAAGCAAGTATTGCAACAGAGAGTTTGACGATGAGAAAATCCTTATTCAGCACCAAAAGGCTAAACATTTTAAGTGCCACATATGTTACAAAAAGTTGTACACGGGTCCAGGGCTTGCCATCCATTGTATGCAGGTGAGTCCACTTTCATCAAGGAGATAGTTTTACAAGCTTGTGCATTTCTTCACTAATACCTTGTAGGTGTCACTTCAAATCTATAATTGTACTTTTCAGAACAGATCCCACTATTAGTGACACATTGTTTGTAGTTCTTTTTGAACTTTGAAAGTCCTTGTTTAGGTTCCAGGGCCTCATTTTATAAGGAAGAATAGAACAGACCAACCACTGAACAAAGTGACTGATTATGTACTTTGCTGAAATCAGATGCAGATGTCACAGCCTGGCTGTAAACCACAACATAGCTTCCCAGCCACCCTTTCAACAGTGAACACAGAACAACAGATACATAGTCTGATATTGGCCTATATATATATATATATATATATATATATATATATATATATATATATATATATATATATATATATATATATATATATATATATATATATATATATTCACCATGTATACTGACTTTACAGGCCTCAACAAGAACAGTATACTTCTGCCTACCCTCTATGGCAATGGATTTGGCATAAAGTATCAGACAAGCTGAATGTTTTTATACTCAGTTGACATATTTTGATCGGCACTCAGAAAGTAGAAGGGCACACTATATAGCCTACAGAGGTCTAGCAAATGACCTGCAGATCACTGCCGATTGTAATATGTTGATGCTCTTTCTATGCTCTGATCCGTTTTCAACATTGTGGCCCCTAAATACCTCATTTTCTAAAAAAAAAAAAAAAAAAAGTCACCTGACGCAAAATGGAAAGGATAAAAAGGTTATCCTTTGAATGATGGTCCTAAATTATCGAGCCCGAAAATATACCCTCACAGGGCCTCAGTCACATGTAAATTGCGGACTTCTGGCGACTTAAATTGCTGCCTTTCAGCGACTACCGCCACCGCCGTGAGTATCTCCCACGCCGCTGCGTGTGGCGCAGGGCTAAACTAGATGGCTGGGGCTCAAGAGCAGCAGTTACCGCATCTCTTGCACCTTCCCTAATTTTATTTGCTCGTGGGTCCCAGCCATCTAGTTTTGCCGCGCGGGGATACTCTCAGCGGTGACGGTAGTCGCCAGAAGTCTGCAATTTATATGTGGCTGAGGTCCTGTTAGGGTATATTTTAGGACCGTTATTCGGAGGATAGCTGATAAAAAAAATATGCTACAGTTACCATACCAGGAATAAAATCTGTCACCTCCAGTTGACGACAGTGCCTAGCTTCAGAAACAGATGTAATTTAATCCGTGACCAGCCACTGAAAAAGTGTTATCATTTACCAGGTTCATCTTACAACAGGAACTCCCATCGGATACAGAATTTATCCTAAATATTTGAAACAGCCACATAGATTTAGCAAACATTGATATTAAAAGTGTGCACTTCTGTATATTATAAATACCTTGATGACTGGAAAAAGGTGCAGGATAAATATATCGCTGCAACTGTTTTGGTACCAGAGGATCGTAAGGTTAAATCCAAGCATGGTGAATTCTTTTGTGCCAAAAGAGTTAACATTTACAAATGAGGGAAGCTATCAGTAAATAATATTTGTCATTTTTTAGATTTTCTCCATTGGTGCGTCTAGATTTAATTTTTTTTTTAAAAAGGGAGTGAAAATTTTGAAACCAATCAGCCAGATCATAATCTCCTTTTTATCCCACCCTATAATGTAATACTTTGAATTCAGTATTATTGGTGTTGCGCAGAGCGTAGAAAAATTTATGTAGAGTTAGTTAATATCTGCCCTTTTTGTTAAGGTGTTAATTATTGATTGCAATTATTATAGGAAGAGCTTATAATTTGTGGCACGACCCTGTGAAGTCTCACCTTTTATTTTTGTTTCTGCGACTTTCAGGTTCATAAAGAAAAGATTGACAAAGTTCCCAACAGTCTTCCAGGTAGAAACAACACAGAAATTGAAATCTATGGCATGGAAGGTATACCTGAGGAGGATGTGAAAGCACACGAAAAAAATAAGAGCAAAAAAGGTGAGTGCTTTTTTTTTGGGTCTCTTTATTTATGAGTAGTGTCTGGACTTAGTGCAGCTCCTCTATGACTTTTTATTGACAATATATTGCTTGTATAGTTTAAAAACATAGGGCTTTGTTGTTTGTATTTTCATTCTGGCTTGTCTTGCCTTTAGTTAGTTGCATTTCCATTCTGCCATGTATTAAACCAACTCCAGCATTTGTTGGTTGTCAGTGATTTCTCATTTAGTAGTTTGCCACAACTTTCAGCAATGTCATTATCAAAATCATTGAAACACCGTCTTCAGATAAATCAAACAGATGTTAAAATTATGAAACTGTTAACACATGATGCAGATTCTGACCTTACCTTTAGTACTTCAGTTGTTTGATATGACTGTTTTATCCGTTGGTGCAGATACCCATTAACTACATCATCGGTCTGACTCATTTCTACGCATTCCGCAGATGCAGTAACCATATACGCAATTCCATGACCACAGAACCAAATTGTTGCAGATAAAGACTTTCTTTTTAAAGCACACATATGCACATCACTTGCAGCAGCAACCTTTTCCCATAATTACATAACCGTAGATTGAGAATGTTCTTGACAGAACAGTTTTTTTGTGTCCACATAATAATGCAGACTTTATTTTCCACTGATATACACAAATCACATGGTCTTGTTACACCAGCTATTTTACACTTGTCACACTAATTTGTGTCCTTATCACATACATTCGCATCAGAAATATAGTGGTACCTCAATGTACATTTACTTTGGTATATGCTCAACTTTACATGCATTCTGTTTAGATGTGAATATTTGCATTGTATATGACTTTTGGAATGGGCACCACTGGCCATCTTTTTTTGCCTCTCTTGACAAAAGGCCACGGATAAATATCAAAGAGAATCACTGCAACAAAGCACAGACAAGCCATGATAGCATTGTCTGGAATGACACATTTCTAAAACATCCTGAGGAGGAGGCAGAAGTTCTCTAGGCAGATATTTTAGTAAAAAAGTCAAACCTGACGAGCATCAACCAGACTCAGGTAGCAAAAAGAGACTTTAAAAAAAAAGAAAGGAATTTCAGCTATGTTAAGTTTGATTAGAAGAGGACTTCTTCCAGGCAACATCTCCTCTCTTATCAGTACCATCCTACTTAGTAGGTACTCAGCTTTTCTCAGGAAGTTAACCTTGTCATTTATTTTATCTAATTGTTTTTGTATTTATGTATTTTAGTATTAGGCAGTGTATACATTATTTTATACAGTCACATCAGTGTATAATAGGCCAATAAAATTTATTTTCATAGTAATTGATAATTCCTCCTTCTATTTCTTATGCAAATATTCATTCGGTGTGCAAACAGTTTGGTATATGTCCAGGAATGGATTCTGTATACTGAAGTACCACTCACTATATATTTTTTAATGTAATTGCTTATCAGTCTGGTGTTGGAATGTTCCGTGGTTTTTTCCTTTCAGTTTGTAATTGTTATACTTTTCTCTTTGCTAGCAGCCGCAGATGCAGGCAGTGAGGCGGAATCAGGGGATGACAACAGCCAGCCTGCCACATCCTTGCCAACGACTTCAGTAACCAATGGAGTCCCGGTAACTGTGCCTCCGCCCCCGCTGCCTTTTGGCACACCAGGCATGGGTGCAATGCCCACACCCGGTCCACCAATGATGGGTGGGATGGGAGGTCCTATGATGAACCCTATGATGGGACCTAACCCAATGGGAGGCATGCCTGGACACATGATGGGACCAAATTCAATGGGTGGAATGGGTAAGTTGATATTTCAGAATGCTCATGATGAAATAATATATTTTCAGTATGTTAGTCAACTTGAACACATTATGTTCTAAGAAGTTGTTACTTAATGTAAGAAGTTATAATAATGTAATGGAAAGGAAGGAGCTAGTACAAAGTGGGTTAATGTAATATCTAGGTGGGTCACTTGAGCAACGAAATTTTTTTTTTTAAAGTTATATTTTTAAAAATCTATATCAGTTTCTGAAATATGTGTGTTATTATTTTCAGGTGGAATGGGACCAATGGGGTAAGTAAATACATTTGTTTTTAATTGTTAGTGCCTTTGCTAGTCTGGATGCTTCACTTTACTGTCTTGTAGTAGCCAGTAGCATAAATCCTGCATGTGGCATAAATGGTGGATGGCACATATTTAATGTCTGTATAGTATTGAAATCTGGGCAACTTAGTTTCATCAGAAGAAACTGCTAAATAGCTTTCATATGCGATGTCTGCTAAGAATATGTGGTATTAAGTGGCAAGATAAGATCACAAACATTAAGATATTGAAAGGGGCAGGTTTCCATAAGGATATCCACTGTGGTGACTTAAAGATGTGTTGTTGATATCTGGGTAAGTCTCTACTTCAATTTAAAGATATTGGTGTTGAGGTGAATTTGTGTAAAGTGGCTAGATGTTTGTCTCCTGAGCCAAAAGTCATTGTTTCAAATCAGCTTAAATTGGTAGCATGTAATATCCCATCAAGTAAAGATGTCTCTTGTGATGTTGACTACACCAGCTTTTGAGTGTTGATTTACCAGTCATGAACAATGTTCTGTATATTTAAGTGCATGTTGTTTGTGTTGCCAGGATGGGAGGACCAATGAATCCCCAGATGAGACCCGGAATGAACATGATGCCCATGCCACCAATGAACCCAATGGGAGGGATGCCGATGCAGAGACCACCACTTCCTTTACCCAACAGACCACTGTTTCCTGCTGCTGCTCAGGTAATTATAATTTAATGTTTGTTAGCTGTAGTACAGAATTCTGTAATCCGACCACACTTATATCGAATTGATCTCGCTGACATGTATTCCCGGCGCAACAAACCTTCCTGGTCACTGGAAAGAAATCTGTCTTGCAAGAGCAGCCCTGTAAAACATACTGTGGGACACAGGTGAAGATGTCAAGCAAGTTGTCCTTTTACTGCTCAACTGCAAAGCGTAGATTAGTATAAAAAATATAGCAGATGATTACTGAAGAATTTTTTTTTTCTATTACTATCTTCATTGTGCTGATAATTAAACCATTTAGTGCTTTAGTTTCCTCAAAATCACATCTGTGCATTTTTAACATAGTGCACTAACTGCAGAACTATCCATGGTCCCATTGAACCATCTAGAAAAATATTTTGTTTCGGGTAAGTTAACCTAAAGGTCACAATTTCTGATTGATTGTTGATATGTGTACGCACTTGTACTAAAACTTCCTTTACTAATTCAGTACCAAGGAAATCTCCTAGATAGGACAGCCTGTCAATCTGTATGTAAATATTGTTTAAAGAAGACATGGATACTTGTTCACAGAGCACGACTTAAATCTTTGTGCTGTACCAGCTACTCACTTTAGCTATCACAGGTTTGATTTATGTAGATAATTTAAACTGCAGTCTGAAAGTTAACCCCGTTTATTGACATTCCAGTCGTCTGCATCTTCGACGCCACCACAAATAGGAGCTCCTCGGCCAACATTTCCAGCTGCTGCTTCTATCGCTCCAAATGGTGGAAGCACAGCCACAATTACTGGTGCACCCACAATCAAAAAGCCAGAGTCTTCATCAGGTTTGACATCTAAGTTAGTCCACCCAGATGAGGATATTTCCTTGGTAAGTGTTTGTTGTCACCACCGGGGCACCTGCCTTAGTGTGTCTTATGGTTTCTGCTTGATTTCTGACAGGTTAGTGGCATTGTTAGTAATATTCTCACATCTCATGCGTGTGTATTGTGAGCAGTTTGTCTTTGAGTGTAGGCACGCGGCAAAAGGAATTTGTTGGTCATTTTAAAAGACACATTGCTATTTTTTTCAAACCATTCCGAAGTTGAAGGCAAATGAGCAAGAGGCAGAAAGGGAGAATAACATCAACAGATGGAAGCAGAGCAGTCTGAGAGAGAGAGAGTACAACCCAAAGAAAAACGACTTATCGGAGATCCATTTGGGCCAGCCTTCATTGACCGTATTCACTAAGTGCCTATTGGTTTATAATAAAATGAGTCTAGCACTGGCAGTACAGGTTTCTTTACTTTACTTTCTTTAGAACAAAGGGCTATCTTTTATTTGTGAGATTTCTTGCGTATCAAGCGGGGTGCATTTGCTTGTATGCTGGATGTTGCAGGTTTGAATTTCTGAGACTTTGAAATTTTAAATATTGTCCTGGGCTGAAATGGGTGAAAGGGATGTTTAAGGTTTTGGTTTAAACAACGAATCAATATCATGGCATAATGGTAGTAAGTAGCACATACGTTCTACTTCTAACTCAAACCTGTGTCCGAAGATTTTTAACTTCAAAGTTTGCCTGGACAGCGCCTTTAGGCTACTCTGTTCTCTTCCCAACTGCCAAGGATTTTTTAAACGTACGCAGCAATACACATGGGCGTCCGGTCTTACTACCCAAAGACCAGTGAAAATTACTATAGGTCCGCTGGAAAAAAATTCCAGGCTTCACTGGGGCTTTAACCGGGGTCCTCTAGCGCTCGAGGATGGTGCCTTGTCCCAAGGCCACTCAGCCCTAAAAAAAAGAGAAGTAAAGGCAGCCACATGTTGATTAGTCTGTGGAAATATGGGACAAGTGCCATGTACCTAACGTGGCTTAGTCTAGGCCATGGCCTTTCTCTGGCTGTACACATGAGCGCTCATGACTTCATGGTTCATATTCTGTTCTCCATGTGGGTTCTGGGGCCCCATTTTGTAAAGGAAAGGGGGTGGGGGAGACCCATTGCTTTCCCCCTCCCACAACAATTGTGTTGTAAAAGTTGACCTGGGGTGTTTCCTTCCAAGTCTGAGAGTCAAGGACCCACCTGTCTGCACACAAGTAAGTGAGTTTTGTACTCAAGTTCTGGAATCGGGCTAAGGTCCAGAAGTAGATAAACAACAAGAAATTTCAGCCCGTAAACGTGAAGTTGTTTTCTTTAAATTGACAGCACATCACAGAATTTAGCACAATGTTTTTTTTTAAAGTAGGTTTTTATGTAACCTAACACCTTGGTGTAGGTAGGAGTGTGTTGCTTGATAGACTTTCTCCCCTTTTTGAATGAACAGGACAGATGTTTAGCCAGGCTAACACCTTGAGTTAAGGTTAGTCCTAGTTGATTGGCTTTTTATAATACTAAATTGCTGCTGATGTTCCTAGTAACATACTTATGCTGTTGTTAAAATCATGAGAAATAATCTGTATTTAAATCTAGTGTATTATCATTTGGTTTAGGTTTCAGGAATAATGTCTTTGCATAAATAAGTACTTTCTTGCATGCTCTTTTATCTTTGACATATATTTTAACACACTATTTATTCTTGAATCTCTTCACGCTGCTGAACATCCTAGTAAGTGTATATAAGTCGCCCCTGAGATGTGAAATTATTAGTTTCTTCAGAAGTGGAGATGATTTAATGATGCAACCGTTTTAGTTTGAAACACATTAGTGATGGATGCAGATGATCACGTTTTTCAGGAGGAGTTACGAGCCAACATGCCCAAGTACCAAAAAGCTGCACCGAGGCATGAGATGATGATGCCGAACAATACCATGGCCAATACACCCATGCCTCAGGGTGGACCCATGTCCCAAGGTGGACCCATGTCCCAGGGTGGACCTATGCAGGGAGGAATGCCCATGAACATGGGGAACATGAACATGGGAATGAATATGGGTATGGGCATGGGAGGGCCCAATATGATGCAAGGTAGGTGGGCTTGTGTTTTGTTATCTGTTTGATAATCCTACAACTGTAAGTACCACCGGTTATACAGCAGAAGTTTTGTAGTATTTTTGTTTTTCTTTAAAATGTGTGTTAATATTGTTGAGAACTGACAGCACAGCTCTTAAAAGGTTCTTATTTGTGCTCTGTCACCATTTTCAGTTGACAGCACAGTTCTAGAATCGATGGTGCGAGTATCAGTGTATTATATGTTCGTCTTGCTTTCCCCCCTGAGTGTTGTCAGCCATACTCTGGTCACTCCCTGCTGGACCAGTTCTTGATAATTTGTTGGCTCTTCAGACTTGTTCACTTGGATCTCACCTACTTTGCCATCCACCAGTTGATGCAGTGCCAGTCAATATGTGTGCTTGTTTCCCAAGACACAGCCGTACTCCGTAGAGAAGACTCAAAGGATGCTTGTGTATGTTAATAATCATGTCTGTAAAATTGGAATTGGCTCACAGCCTAGTTTCAGTGCTCATTCTGCCTCATATCCCCCTACATCCCATAACCAACTTATGGAAATTGATTGGTATTTTGCAGTTTAATTTATATACGGTTTGGGGTGGGCAACCCTTAGTAATCACCTCTTAGGACATGCTTTGTGGCTGAAGTGTTGTTATTCATTGCTTTCCCTAGGGTTTCAGAAACATGAGCAGAGCACTCATCACTGGCAGTGTTTTGTTCTGTCTGTGCGACCTAGCAGTTGACCAAGCTGTATGGGTAGACATATTCTTGGGGAATATTTGACACAGTAAACATTCTTAACAGAAGTGGGACTTGTTAGTATTTCCATGCCTGCATAATATAACATTCTCATCTGGAAAGACAGAAAGCTACCAAGTATCGACATGATAATGACCATATCACTACTTCTGTGCCATTATATTCTTAGGGTCAAAGACTTTGTACCATGTGTTAATGTCCTGTTATTGTACAAGGTCATTTTACATTTTTAACAGGTAGTTTTATATCAGTAACGAATATAGTTTTATTTTTCTTATAAACTTAAAAATTTTGGGTTTGTTTGTCTGGGCGAGATTTTGCAGCCAGTTGTTAAAGCTTAGAAGGACATTGTTTGTGTGGTCTTCATTTGATTTGTAATTTGTGTGCATTCAGTTTTGTCATGTGGTATATCTTCTTTTTTTCTCTTCTTGTTTCTTTCCTAAATCGTTTAACAGGAATGATGGGCGGTCCAAGACCCAACATGATGCCTGGTCCAATGATGGGCAACAACATGATGCCTGGTCCGATGATGGGCAACAACATGATGAGGGGCCCCGGAAATATGGCTATGGGAGGACCACCACGAGGGCCCATGGGTGGCAACATGAATATGATGCCTCCTGGTGGCATGCGGCCAAACATGGGTGACCCTTTTGGAAATCAAGGCATGATGAGAGGAAACCGGCCATTTAATTGAGGTGGATCTAATCTAAAGTGGCCTTAGTATTAATTTCATGCATTTTTCCCATTTACCTCTGGATTTATATTAAAAAAAAGATTTATCATGAAATTATATTTTGGGTACTTCTTGTCAGGACAATAGCTTATGATCAGCAAACATTATTTCTGGTGTCTATTACAAAAAAAAAAAGAAATTACTCTGGTGCTTTTTTGGGGAAGGTGAGTTGGTGAAAATAATGACATTTGTTCTTTTTAATTAGCACGCTTTGAAGGCCCAGTACTACTTATATACTTTTTAGCAGGTCAAAATACGCTGACAATAACACTTTAGCTTGGAACTTAATACAAAGGTCACTGTAGATTTTTTATGATGTAGTTGTTTTGTGATATAGTTTGTTTTATCATTTTGTATTTTTTTTAATGGGGGGGGGGGGGGGGCACTGTTGCTATGACAGATTATGGCAGCTCATGGAAAAACTGTTGCGCGTGTGGATACAGAGTGACAGCTAAGCACGAGTTTGTCTGATGCATGCTATAGTAGCGGAGTGACTGGCTGAGTGGTTGTAACGTTGTGCTCTCATTTTGGGAGTCCTGGGTTCAAGTCCCTGTTAAGGTGAGACATTTTTTGTTGTTGGGGAAACATAAACATCCTAACCTGCACGGCTCATGGTGACTGGACTAGCTGTGCAGCGCTAAATTCTCAGACTCAGAGCCTTTCTATCCTACTTCATTGTAAAACATGGTACAGGCAGTAAAGTACTATACGATATGGGTCTTGGTTGTTTCATGTCACATTTATAGTTCTTGTTCAGTGACTCCGTTGTAAATCCTTTAATGTGTTGCTAAAACCATAATGGGGTACTTCTAGTGGGCATTTTCATGGCCCCATTTTCTTTTATCTTTTATGTCAGACTGCTAATTATGTAGTCTTATTGAAGTGAAGGGCATTCGTGTGGGAATGTGTCAGCAGTAATGTTGAATGCTGTATGGAGATGTCTCATTTGCAGTCTTTTTTTTTTTTTAAACTTTGGTTGATGAGTGGACACGTTTGTTACATGGGTGCTTTTGACAATATAGTTAATATCTTGTTACTGTCATCACAGCCACTGAACATGTGGCTGTTGGGTTGCATCTCCCCCAACTGATGTTGGTGATGACTTGTACGCTGATTAATTCCTCGGTTCTTGACTTCAGATCCGATTTCAATATCTGGTTATTTGTATCTGTCTTCTCACTCAAATATTCAATTGTCCTGTCAGTTTCTAAACCATTGGCACAAGTAGGTATGTTCTGTCTTGCAGTTAACAGTTCTCTAATTTGGTTACAGCAGTCTTCATTTATCAGCGCTTGTTTGCTGATTACTCTAATGCAGTTTGCTCTCAACATTGACCCCTGACATAATTTCTCATTCATTTCTTTAAGATTAATCTTTCTTAACATCTTAGAATGAAATATGCAGTTATGTAACTAGTTTTAAATCATAGTCTATCTGTCTAGTTTCATTCAAGGCACACATTCATGAATATTTTTTTTAACAACGGGCAAGTTGTCACAGTGCATATTTGTGCTGTTGGGTCACTCGACCCCCAACCTAACACCGTTAACCATACTTTCTTTTTTTTTCTTACATTGTTCCTCCTTGATTTCAGTAATTTGTCAGCCAGTGTTTGGTTTAATTGCTAGTTCTCTAGGGGGTGCCAGATTTTTTTTGTAAAGTATCCAAAAACTGTTGCTAACATTCCCCTGATAAAATATGTAAATGCCACAGAATGTTAGTCATGGTTTCCGGTGAGATGGGTTGGTGACCTTTGTTAGCATGTGGACTGAGTTTTTGTGTTCAGTATCTAGGTCTCTGGGCTACTGTCTCTCAAAGGCAAGTGTGTCACAGCAGCTATCTTCGCTGTTGGGCTGTTTAGATGCCCCCACACTAGGTGGTGACACTGGTTTTTAATTATTGAATTTTTGTAGACAGAATTAGTAACACTTTTAAAAACCCACATCTGTACGTGTGTCACAGCAAATGTTGCTGTTGGGCATTTGCAAGCCCCCTCAGTTGACGGCGACACCTTTTAGACCAACATGGGCATTTAAAGAAACATTCTTCAGATGTCCACCTTTTGTTATCACATGATTTTATTAGGTTTTCTTGTATTACTACAGAGTTCAGGGGAACATGTATGGAGAGGTATCAGTTGTCAGTGGTGTCGTCAACGTTGGTGAGTACCACTTGCTGGTAGGTGGACTCAGATTGTACTTGGTTTTATTTATAGTCATTTGTATGCTAAAAGCCAGTAGCACTAGATGTGTGTAGAGTTCTTGAAAGAAGACTTAGCATTACCTTAAGGTGTTTATTGTACATTTCCTGTTCTTGTATTATTTCTCTCTTATTTTTTTTTATTGCTCAAGAGTAATTGTTATGATTTGTGTTTTTCAAAGTTTTGTAGGATGTTTGTTTCCATAACTGTGATTTCATTTTCAGCTCAAACTATTTCTTTGCAATAGTTTTTGGATGGTAGGTATACATTAGATGTAAAGGGTGTTCAGAGATAATGTTAACAGAATTCACACTCATCTTCCATTGTAACATTTTTTTTTGTATATAGTCATGATATACTTGACAATTGACTTCATTATTGTCACATTATGTATCATTGTATTCATCTCATCATGTATGTGAGGTTGCAGTTACAGATTAAAAGTGTCTGAAATGTTGGTATTGTGTTGATTTGTGTTGTGTTGCCTGGCTTTCTTATCCCCACCACGATGACCGTTGTGTAGGTATTTATGTTCATTTTTGTATTTAATAAACATTGATGGGCATGAATGTTTACTTTTGTTTAAAACCTCTTTCTCTCCTCCTGGTTTTCTGTTTATATACCCACCACTGCATCTCTCTGTCTCTACCAGCCCACAGTAAAGATACAACCAGTTGGTTCATTCCTTTAGGATGATAGTAGACAAAATCTTCTCTGTTTTGCCACTATATGTCACATAGGGCTTGCAGTCTCTTCCTTCATTCCATTCTGTCCTGTGCAATCACTTCGAAACCATGAATATGACCTATAGCTTCTCTCATTAACCTTTAAAAGAATGGTCAGTACCTCTCATTAGCCGAAGGGGGCAGACCAGTGTCGGTGCAAAGGATTCTGTGCCTTCCTGAGGCTTTTCAGACAGTACAGCTCTATACCCCAGTGTTGGTAATCCTGTTATAATCTAGCATAGGAGAATGAAAAGAGGATTATTGAAGAAGAAAAAAAGAGACAAAATATTTTGGCCACATTTAAAACAAATCATTATAGAAGGTTATGTCAACAACAAGATGTAGACACCCATAAAAATGGCAGGACAACGTCAAGAGTTAGACAAACATCAGTGCGAGAGTACAACCAAGACAAGACACAGAGCCTGTTGAAAACTTATTGCAGTCAGCCTTCATTGTTTAGATTGCACCTGGTTGATTAAATCCAGTATGCTGTTTTGTTCCTAATTTCTGTGAACCTTTCTGGGTGGAAAAGATCAAAGTGACCTAGAGGCGCAGACAGTGATATAAATGTAATAAGTGATGGGCGAACATAAGTTTTTAAAGATGTAGAAATCTGTTGCAGTCCGCGCGGCCCTCACCATGGAGGTGTCACTTAGTTGATTGCTGAGTTAGCTACCAAGATGGAAACAAGCCACCCTGACCCCACTTATTTGTTTTCTCTGGCTGACATTTCTGGTAGCTCATCCACCTCTGGTCGTCTTGTTCCAGATATTTGCAGTTTTACAGATTTAAACTTATTTGTATGCAGGCTTGGTTCATTGCCTCTCATTACTCTTGGTAGATGCACTCCAGCTTCAAGGAAACCCTAAATTAATCGACTATGCTTGTTAGGGAGCCAGTGGGCTTCTCAGCCGCCTCCCCAAGTGGGGATTCTTTCATCTCAAACTGATAAAATCTCAACTTAATATATAACTTGCTCATTACCAGATAATATATTGTAGACGGCAATATACACTTAAAAAGTGATTACAGTCGAGTGGATAAGTAGAAGTCGCAGGGACCTAAGAAAATGCTTCCACTTATCAGGATTTCAACTAATCCAGACAGGACACACAAGAGAAAATTGCTGGGACTAAGCTGGTCATGTCGACTTAACCAAAATTCGACTTAAGTGGACTTGACTGTATAACTCTTTTTTTTTTTCGAATTTAGAGTGGATGTTTGGGATTTGTCATCCAGCATGAGATAACTTTCAAAAGAACATAAGTGGTTGAGATTCAGTGCAAAAAGAAAACCCTACATTTTTTTACGAGGGATGTCAATAAGTTAGAACTGGTTGATTAAAAAAAAAAAAGCAACTTAAAAACCATTTAGTTTTACAAATAAAATGTCTCTTTATTCAAAACATTTCTGCCATAGTTTTGTCAGTCCTCCCAAACCTGCTGCATAGAACTGCGTGCTATATTTTCTTAACCACATTTCAAAATTGTCTGGGCACTCCACCATGAGCACACTTTCTGAAATTTCAATCGCTTATGCAATATGTTGTATGCTTAACCATATGAGCACCGTATTGCAGCTGCTACAGTCAACTGCTAATCGCCTGTCACCACTGATCTTTCCACTCGCCACACGGATGCATCTGTTGCAATCTCAACGGGAGGATCAGATCGGACTTCATCAATGATTTTAGTGTTCTTGAGGACATTTTGTTTTACCCAGCTATGTCCCGCCAAACAGAATAAACATTTGTCAGCATAAACAAGAAGAATTTGCATATGAATGTTTTTCACAGGCAGCTCAGGCACCCCCTACCAAAAAACACCCCTCACGTTTGTTTAGGGTACACTCCTTATAAGTACATTCTGCGAATGTGACACCTAACAAACGGAAACAAAGTTCTATGTTGCTGTCACCTAATGACATTTTTAGAAACCATTACATTTTCCTGCTATTCCATAACCTTTTTGACCGACTTATTGACTTCCCCTCGTATTTAATGAAGCTAAGACATCCCACCCGAAAGTAAACAA